CGATCTCTCTCTTCCTCCTATCATCATCCATTTATCTGTCTGTTAATCTAACCATTCATCCATCTATCCATCCATTTAATCTATTCACTCTCTCTTTTTTTCTTTCTTTCTCCCTCCCTCTCTCTGTTAATCTACTTCCTTGAGCTATCTATCCATCTTAGCCTCAGTCCACTTCTAGGAAAGTAGGCATGCAGCATGACAATTGCAGTTAGGACAAAGCAATCACCCCATCTGTGTGAACTTCCTGGGAACTGAAAGTGCAAACTCTCAATCTATAAACATGAAATAAAGCCAGGGGTGGTGGCTCGCAGCTGTAATCCCAGCACTTTGGGAGGCTGAGGTGGGCAGATCATGAGGTCAGGAGTTTGAGACCAGCCTGGCCAAAATAGTGAAACCCCGTCTCTACTAAAAATACAAAAACTTAGCCAGGCGTGGTAGTGGGCACCTGTAATCCCAGCTGCTTGGGAGGCTGAAGCAGGAGAATTGCTTGAACCCAGGAGGCAGAGGTTGCAGTGAGCTGATATCGCACCATTGCACTCCAGCCCAGCAACAGTGTGAGACCCTGTCTCAAAAACAAAAACAAAAAACAAACAAAAACATGAAATAAAAACCTGCCCAATGCAACAGCCTATGTCATAAAGAATTAGATTTTTCTGTCTCACAGCCCAGGGAAATACAACTTTCCATGACTAGAGGCAAGAGAACAAACTAGAATTGACACAGAAGGAGAGGACTGATGACTTCAAATCACATTGCTTCCCTGCTCAAAACCATCCTAGGGTTTCCCATCATACTCAGAGGAAAAGCCGAAGTCCTTGCAGTGGCCAGGGGCTCAATACACTTTGGGTGCTCTGCTCCAGCCATGCACAGCCTCTTTCCTGATTTTTATTTTATTATTTTATTTTATTTATTTTTGAGATGGAGTCTTGCTCTGTTGCCCAGACTGAAGTGCAGTGGCATGATCTCGACTTACTGCAACCTCTATCTCCCGGGTTCAAGCCATTCTCTTGCCTCAGCCTCCCAAGTAGCTGGGATTACAGGTATGTGCCACCACACCAGGCTAATTTTTGTATTTTTAGTAGAGACAGAATTTTATCATGTTGGCCAGACTGATCTCGAACTCCTGACCTCAGGTGATCTGCCCACCTTGACCTCCCAAAGTGTTGGCATTACAGGCATGAGCCACCATGCCTGGCCCTCTTTCCTGATTTTAGAAACCACGTCAGGCATACTGTGCTGTAGAACCTGTGGACTAGCAGGACCCTCTGCCTTGAATATTCTTTCCCCAAACATTGCACGGTCTCTATGCCATGTTTCCCTGTTTTTGTTTTTCTATTTTATTGATTTCCACTCTGATCTTTATCATTACTTTTTCTTGTTTATTTGAGAAAGCAAATTATTGTTTTAAGCCACTAAATGTGGGAATTATTTTTTACTTAGAAAGAGATTACTGAAACACAAGGAAAAATGGTTTCTCTAGGAACAAGCTACTTTAAGAAGTTCCAGATGAATGCTTTTAGTTAGCCCAGACATACTGTTGGGGTTGAGAGTTGTTAAGCTGTTTGGCTGACAGACTGTGAAATCAGAAATCATATAATGTTAAAGCGAGTAAAAAGTTATTTTGCTCAGAGAGCTGAAGTGACTTGTCCAAGGTCACACAGCTAAGTAGGAACAGACCTTAGAACAGAAATGGACTCTCCATTCCATATACATCTCTTATTTGTTCTACAAATATTTATTAAGCACATTCTTTATGTAAGGCACCATGCTAGCAGCTAGGGATAACACAGACAGCCCTTATCCTTATAGAGGTTATATTCCATCAAGTCAGATAGATCTTAAGCAATGAAATTAATTGTTTTTATTTGTTTAATTACAATTGTGATAAGAGTCACGAAGCGGAATGAGGTGCTTTGAGAATATATAATACAGGAGTGGACTCTGAAACACTCTGGGGAGAACAGACAGAGGCATTTAAGCCAAATGGAAAGAATGAGTAAGAATTGATGAATGAAGAAGGGAATAGGGAACATTCCAGGCAGAAGGAAAAGCATGAACCCTGTGTACTACGTCAAACTGCTTCTCTTACAATATCACGGTGCTCTTATTCTTCATTGCATGGGTCACCGAGATGATTAAGGGATAAGGATAGCGAGTCGAAATACATAGGAAGATAATGGATTGAGATCCAACAAGGGTGAAGCTCTCCCAACTGGGGGATTTACCAGGAAAGTCAATGAGTCCAAGAATACCTATGTCAGCATGCAAACAGAAAGATGGGAAATATTTAGCCTGTTAACAAGTGGTTTGGTTTCTATAACAGCAAAAAAGGGTCTCCTTAGGAAATTCCATAACTCCAATCATGCCTTTGCCTGCTGACTTCATTAGGGATGCCTGCTCCACGAAGGCCCCGACATAGGAAGTGATAGCATCTCTGCAACTTGGGGCAGGTAACAGGGCATGTTCAGAGGGAATTCCTTGGGCCACTACTGCAGCTCAGTGCTGGCAGTGTCCATGAGGATGGCCCATCCAGCTCCCTAACACTGCAGTGCCCTTCCCTCCTCACCCCAGAAGCACCCTCTCCAATTCACTCAGCCAACTGTCCCATGGCATATCCCAGAATTGTCATTAGACAATGCTCAAACCCTCAAATGTTAAGTTTTCCTCTTCCAAACTCTGAACACACTAGCCTAACCTCCTAATTGTGACACGTGTTATCTGTGTTGTGCTCATCACACATAGCCTTCAATTGTATGACAGCTTTGGTCCATTGACACCTCCATTTCCTCTCCAACTTGTCATTCTTTCCTACCTTCAAGTCCTTTCTTATCGTGCCTGGTTCCTTGACTTCCTGTAGCATCCATCTGCCAGAACTACAACCTGGTGTCATCTATGTTTGTGTTTTTATACCCGAGGCTGCTGAGTGCTGAAGAAAATGACACCACAGTACAGACTGGTGCCATCGTGTTCTCTCACCTAAGTTGATTCAAACACTGCTCCCATTCCCCACACTGCTCACATGCCTTACTTCAGACCTTCACCAGTGCTCTCAACCACTTCATCTACTCCCCCTCCCCACATCAGGAAAAATGAGCCCTCCACACCAGAATAGCTCAACTTCTGCTCTTCTGCTCTCAGGGGTTTCCTAGGAGCAGAGTCAGAGACAGGGATTCATGTGAGCGATGTATTGAGGGATGTTCTTGGGAGAATCCTATAAGGCAATGAGGGAAGCAGGATGGCACAGAAGTGAGAATGTGGCTCCAGCTGAAATCTGCTCTCAGCCTGATCTCATTGGATCTCTGGAGCAGGAAGGGCACACAGAGTTGTCTGCTTTGAGGCAAGGAGGCCAGATTTTTGTACTTTCTTATCGATCAGTCATTGGCCCTTGGCCATCCCTGAGGGGAAAGTACATAACCTCATTTTTTGTTCCTTTCAGCAGAACACAGTTTTCCACAAAAGAGTGCAGCTGTGAGCCTCAGCAGCCAATACAGCAGCTTAGAGCTGAGGACACCAATCCAGTCAAGGGGACCTGGGCATGGCACCAGCAGCAGCTCTTACAGCGTCCACACTTGTCATCTACCTGCATCTACAGGCTTCTCTCTTTGCTGAGGTCCTCAGCGTACTGCACCCCTCCGGCAGGCTCCCAACCCAGTGTGATCTCTCACCGAACCGCTCATTACACTGCATTTTAACCTTCTGCTTAATTGTGTAAGCGCCCAGATGGTGGGGCCATCATTTTCTTTTTAGTAGCCTTTGTGCCTACATAGAAAAACGCTGTTCTGAATAAATGTTCTGTACTCACTAGGGGTTCAAGTTGAAGGAATTTCAAGTCAGGTAGGAAAGGTGTTGTTTGTTTTTTAACAGAACAGGCCTTTGAATTAGGTTTCATAGATGACAAATTTAGGCAGCCCCTTTAGAACTGACCTTGACAAACGACCTCTATTTCCCAAATTCCGTGTCTTGCACATTGGGCATCAAAGACTGCAACACAAGAACCACTGCAAGCACCACACAGAAGGCACCATGAGGGTCCCTCCCACTACTCACTCTCAGGATTGATAACTACAAAGCCAGGTTTTGTGGCTGCTCTCAAGTTGCCAATGTTTGGAGGGGACATCCCCTTACAATCAGGCACCTACCTCAGCAATTTCTTGTGCCACGCATGTGTCAGTTTGTTCTGTCTGATTCCTGTTCATTCTCTTGCTCCTTTTAATATAATGACCTTGTGCCTTAAAACACTTACCATCTGGGAGAGGTCTCCTCCATTGCTCAAGCTCAGCAGTCCTCTTGCTTCATGGGAAAGCAGTTACCCAGTGCAGAGGTGTTAAGTGATCTTGTTTGACAAACAGAAGCAAATCTAGTCACGCACAATGTTGATTCTGCCTCTGAAGTGCTCCATGTAGCTACATACCAGGGTGAAACCCTAGTGCAATTTTTTTTTTTAATTTTTTTTTTTGAGACAGAGTCTTGCTCTGTCCTCAGGCTGAAGTGCAGTGGCACAATCTCAGCTCACTGCAACCTCTGCCTCCTGGGTTCAAGCAATTCTCCTGCCTCAGCCTCCTGAGTAGCTGGCATTACAGGCACACGCCACCATGCCCAGCTAATTTTTGTATTTTTAGTAGAGACAGGGTTTCACTGTGTTGACCAGGATGGTCTCGATCTCTTGACCTCCACCCACCTCAGCCTCCCAAAGTGCTGGGATTACAGGCATGAGTCACTGCGCCCAGACCCTAGTGCAATTCTTTTACTTCCTAAAGATGTGCTATGTGAGTGAAGAATGTACAAACAACTGAATGATGAGCATAAATAAAAAACCTGAAAAGGTCCAGAAGTTTAGATAAGAATTTCAGAAATTTGGCAATCATTTTTCTGTTGAGAAATAACTAGTCCACAGAGGGCAAAAAAAAAAAAAAATCAATCTGGGGCACACATCAGCAGATATTAATTGAATTAAGGAGGGGCTGTGAGCAGGGAGAACGAGAAAAATAAATAAGGCCCACCCACTTATTTCAAAATTAGGAACAAGGACCATAAAAGGATGCGAAATGACAGCCTATCATAGAAAGTTCATATTTCCACTTTACGTTAAAGCTAATTAAGGGCGATAAAAGGAAAGTGGGTAGAAGAGATACTTAAGAAGAGTGAGGAAGAAAGAAAGGAGGGTTCTCCTCCTAGCCAGGCTCCTAATACGTATCTTAGTCCCTTCACTCCTCTCACCTGTAGCTGAGCCTACTCAGCTCCTCCTGAGACACCAGATCTATCAGACCTAAGAATCCTCTGCAGTTCCTCTTTCGCTTATTTTGAGCAATTTAGGCTCAGGCCATTACCATCAATTATTCCTCCCAGAATTAGGGTTGCCAGAGTTAGCCAATACAAATACAGGACTCCCAGCTAAATTTAAATTTCAACTAGACAATGAATAATGTTTTAATATAAATATACCATATGGAATATTTGGAACATACTTATACTAAAAATAAAATTCTTGTTTAACTGAAATTCAAATATAACCAGGCATCCTGTCTTTTTTTTTTTTTTTTTTGAGATGGAGTTTCACTCTTGTTGCCCAGACTGGAGTGCCGTGGCACGATCTTGACTCACTGCAACCTCCACCTCTTGGGTTCAAGTGAGTCTCCTGCCTCAGCCTCTCAAGTAGCTGGGACTACAGGTGCCTACCACCATGCCCAGCTAATTTTTGTATTTTTAGTAGAGACTAGGTTTCACCATGTTGATCAGGCTGGTCTTGATTGAACTCCTGACCTCAGGTGATTCACCCGCCTTGACCTCCCAAAGTGCTGGGATTACAGGCGTGAGACACTGAGCCTGGCTGCATCCTATCTTTTATCTAGTGTCTTCATCCTAGAATCCCACGATCAAAACCAAATTTTGTTGAGATTATACCTCTAGGAAAAGGCTTCTTTGCTTGCTGTCTGTCTGCAGGAATATTCTCTCAGGGAGGAGCATAGGGAAGACCCCCAGCCCAACACCATGGAGAGTATGAGAATCCTTGTCTTACCATAGAAAGTCTAAGTCCATGTGTATAGGATCTCATGCATGATTTATTCAAACATTTTTATCAACAACTGTGGAAGCACAGAAAAGTTAAACAATTTTCCCTTAGTGGCAGTTATTAATGCAGAGTCAGGACTAGAGTCTATGTGGCATAGGGGTTTTTTTCTCTCTCACAGAATTTATCATAAACTTTATATGTATATTATACACCAAGCTTCAGGAATCAGATGGTGAAGTTGGTACTAAATTCTATAATTATTTTGTAAACTTAAAAAGGATAAAATGAGTGAAAAGAAGAACATAGCAAAGAAAGTTGGCTTTTGTGGAATCTAGTTTGTAATGTACCTTTTGAATTTCATTTTGAAATTCTGCAATCAATTACTTTTCAATCGACCAGTCATTCAGACCTTCAGAGCAGCATACTTGCTCCAATTCAAAAGCTCCACAAAGCAGGCTAATTCTTGTTAGTGCACATCCGTCACTGAGCTAAACAAGCCTTCCTGCCAGCAGACACCAGCAAATGCAGGGAAGGTGGGAGGAAGCAAGTGAAAAGAGCAGCAGTTCTGAAAGAGGAAAAAAATACTTCTTTCACCCAGTTTGTATCTAGGGGCTATGAGAATGTTTCAATTTACTTATGGGCCCCCTTGTCATTTAAGAAGCACATTGTGATACTGAAACCTAACAGAGACTCTCACCTAGCAGCAAACTGGGCCTAAGATCTGGGCCAGGCTATTTGGCCTTCAGAGGCTTTTGTTAAAAAGCCCTCATTTTCTAGAAATGATATCCAAAGTGCATTTTCTCTCTCTCTAACCTCTCTCTGTCTCTCTCTGTCTCTCTCTGTCTCTCTCTCTCTCTCTCTGAAACTCCTACTATTTTGAAGCCTTCAGTGGACAATTGTGATGGTCATTTCCCACATGGTGTTTTTCCCCAAATTAATATCCGCAATAGAAAACATGGCAAAGCTTAGATCAAGGTAATCTGTGACCTGCACAAAGTCTGCATCAATGTGGATGCTCTGGCTGCAAATCACAAAATACTCTAATAAAAATGGCTTGAACAGGGTTGGGGGGGGTGCTTTTTTCACATAAGGGGAGAGGCACACGACCCTGGTGTTATTTCAGGGGCTCCCCAATGTCAGGGCTCTGAGTCAGCTTCCCTTCATTTTCTTGGTCTGTCCCTCAAGACTGCAAAATGGCTGTAGCAGCTCCCTGCATGACATCATGGTATCCTTGCATTTGATACCCAAAGCAAGAAGACGTTTTTCTTGCTAGACTTTTTATTACCAGAGAGAAAAATCTTTCAAGTATCCACCTGTGCCTCATGACCAGAATTCAGTCACATGCAAGGGAGTCTAGGAAAGCAAGTATCCAGGGTTTTCATGTATAAGTAACAAAAGGACCAGAAGCTACTCCCTTTGCAAACCCCCTACCTTTTCTACATGGCAGATGGGAAACTGGCTATCCACAACAAATCTGACTGATCTACGGTCCAATCTTCATTTGTAACTTGGTAACTTCATTCCAGCCTCTGAATGGTTGCTGTCCACAACCAATCAGACTGACTGAGGGCTAAGTCTTTCTTTGCATAGAAGCATAACTTTGTAACTTCACCCTAGCCTGATTGGTTGCTTTTTGCACAGGAGTGTGACCTCTGTAACTTCACTTCAGCCTCTAGTTGGCTGCTTTCTCCAACCAATCAGACTGATTGCAGGCTACCATTTCATTTACATGAAGTGAGCACGAAGTGGCCAATGGGAAACTTGTAGGGGGTATTTAGACTCAAGAAGATTCTGTATCTGGGTCCTTGAGCCGCTGCATGAGCCTGCTCTCACGCTGTGGAGTATACTTTCATTTTCAATAAATTCCTGCTTTTGTTCTTTTGTTGCTTCATTCATTCTTTGCTTTCCTTTGCATTTTGTCCAATTCTTTGTTCAAAACACCAAGAACCTGGACAACTTGCAGCCACGACTGTCTACTGGTGACGCAACTATGCACCACTAATCTGCTAGTTGATGTTGGTTTTATAAATGGATCCTTGGTCTTTTCCTACTTGACAAAGGAGAGTCCCAAGTGTAGCACCGTTTTTGGCTGTGCTCGTTTTTCAAGAAAGCTTTCTCCAAAACCCCAAGGCCTCATTTTGTTATCAGGAAAACTTTGACTTGCTCTGAGGCCATAAACCCTGGCTCAAGTCTTGACTCACTCTTTCAAAGCACATTATGCTTCCAGAAGCTGTTAACAGTAGCTATTTATCTTCATCTGACATACGTGCAACTTCAAAAACCAGAAAGAAAGAAGACCTGGTGTTCTTTCTTCCATTATGCCATAGTTAAAATTGCATCTGTAATTTTTAAGTAGCAGAGATTAAAGGTCATGCCAGGGATTAAACAGACACACAAATTACCTTCTTCTCACTCTACTTTGGTCTTGTGACTTAACTTTTTCATCTTTAAGATTTGACTGTTCTTAATTTGACTTCTTTGTCAGTTTCTATGAACCAGCCATCATAAAGGGCAATATTGTATACAGGACCATTTATTCTGTCAAAAAAAAAAAAATCACATATCTTGAAAGATGAGATAGATTTGTGCCTGTTGATATCTTCTATCCACAAAGGAATTTCACATGACTGGGCTTCTTTTGCCCTCTAAAATTATCCAAACAGCAAAGGTCATGACACTGCCTCAGTTCACCAGTTCATTTTGGCAAAGTGCTGGCAGGGACCTGAGCCCTGCCTTACCTGCTTTCTGCAGAGCCCTGGCTAGGCACCGTACATAGGAGTTGGAGTATCTCCAAGTTTCAAATAGTCTGCACACTTAATGGTTAGTACTGACTTTGGAACTAGACCACCTGGGTTCACATTGTGGCTGTGTGACCTTGAGCAACTGCCTTAACCTATCTGTGCCTTAATTCTCTCATCTAAATTGGGGATAAAAACAAGCTGACCTCATAGGATTGTTGTGAGAATCACATGAGTTAGTACATGTAATGTGCTTAGCGCAATGCCTGACATATGATTAAGAGCTATGTAAGTATGAGCTCTTGTTATTACTAATACTTTTTTCCTGGGCTTGGCCACCTGTCAACAGTCTTTATGGCTTCCTGGAACACTTCTTAAACATTTTCCCCAAAGCTCTCTTTTCAAACCCTCAGCCGTGAATCAATCAATTTCATTCTGTGGAAAAGAGTCCAAGAAGAATTAAATGGAGGATGCTGGAAATGGCGGGGCTAATGCTTTATCACATTCTTGAGAAATCTGGCCAACAGAAATGCAAACTGCCTTGCTTAAAGAGAAGCCCATATTTTATTCCTCTCCAACGAAACAATGTTCCCTTTAAGAGTCAAACAGCATCGTTCTCATTGTCTACACTTTATAATCTCCTCCTCAAGTATACTTGCCACTAAGAAAATTGTTAATGCATGTACAGTTTAAATGGCTTTGGCTCATTAAAAATCAGACTTAAGTCCATTAATCCTAGTCCTCAATTCTAAGGTAATGTTTATTTTGCAAAGTCATAATCACAACAACTATGTGTAATGTTTCTAAAAATATAGTCTATTTTAAGAAATCTTTCTGATGGTCCATATTCTCACTTAGTTTATTAAGTGACCCATTTTTAAAGAAAAAGTTACAATTTACACACTTAAATAATTTGCCTCCAATACTATACACTCTTTTTATCATCCTTAATAATAACTCCAACAGCATAATACTAGGAGCTAAGATTAGGTTGAGGGAAGCCAACTGCGGTTTCTTCATAGTTTCAGGGTAAACAACATAATTTACAAGGGACATAGAAACCAAGATGACACAGATATTAAAAGTTCTTTTCATCTAAAGACTATAAAAATGCTTTGGCTGAATTATCTGTGTTCTCTTAGCTCTGTAAGTGACACTAATGAAATGCAAAAAGGCCAAAAGAAAGAAGGATGGCAAGCAACTGAGAGAGCAAGAGCGCTAGAGTAGTCTGAAATTGGCTCCATCCATCCTTTGAGAGTTGGCTAATGAAAACAGGGAACCTCTGTTTCTATAGTTCCAATTCTTAGTGAATACTGTCTGTGTTCCAAGTGCAGTAGCAAAATAATAAATCAGAGTGAATTCAATGTACGTATGACCCTGTTCAAAGAGACTAACCCTGTAGTACATTTCAATTTTCTGTGGTTCACCTACCAGCTCACAACATGGATGGGGATTGCAGGGTTAAGGTTTGGTGCAGGACTCAGAATTACCGGCCAAGCCAAATATATACCATTAATAAGATGACTTTAAATATAAAAGCTAATAATATAGAGATTTCTAAATTAAAAGTTGCCTTTCTCTCTAGCAATTTCACTCCTAGATGTATACCAAAGAGAATTAAAAGTTTATGTCCACACAAAATGTTCATGAATGTTCACAACAGCACTATTCATAACAGCCAAAAAAGTAGAAGCAACTCAGATGTCCATCAGCTAACAAATGGATAAATAAAATGTGGTATAGCCATACAATGGAATATAACCTGGCCATAAAAAGAAATGAAGTATTGATATATGCTACTTCAAAATAGATAAATCTTGCAAACATTATGCTAAGTGTAAGAAGCTGGTCACAAAAGGCCACACAGTATATGGTTCTATTTATATGAAATGTCCAGACTCAGCAAATCTGTAGAGACAGAAAGTAGATAAGTGGTTGCCGGGAGCTGGGGTAAGGAAAGAACAGAGAATGACTGTTAATGGGCATGAGGTTTATTTTTCTGGGGGTGGGGTGGTGATGACATGTTTTAAAATTGATCATGGTGATAGTTGTGCTACTCCATGAATATGCCAAAAATCACCATATACTATAAACAGGTGAATTTTATAATATGTGAATCATGTCTCTATAAAGCTGTTTTTTAAAAGTTGCATTTCTCTCATTTTATTACTAAATAGATACTTAAGTAGTTATTAAGCACAAGTTACAGGGTTAATAATGAAATATGCAAGATACACAGTAGACCTTTGTCCTTCACAAGGGATACTTCTGGAAACATTTCCAGGTTCCCAAATAAATGATTACCACCAGGGGTGAGATTGCACAACTATAGAGAGCGTCATTCCTTTAGGGATCTATGTAAATAATGCCCCAGGAGTCATGCAGAGTACAACCTACATGTCCACACAGGGTGGTCCTGGCGGCCATTAAGACACCAGCATGTAGCTTTCTTTCCTGGGACATTTTCGCCCACAGCTGCCAAACAAAGTGTTCCCTCTCCCTCTTTTTCTTTTTACTTTACAAAAATTATTGATGTGCCACTGGATTGGGATATAGATATCAGTTGGTCAGCCAGGCTACAGCATTTATTCCCAACTGGTATCACTAACTCCTGAGGATTGACAAGGTAAAGTTCCATGATCAACTTTACTGCCTTGACCCCATCTCATTCACATATTTATGAAAGAGATCCAATCCATCATGTGATTATAAATTATCAATTTTGTTTATAGGCAAATAATCTTTTGTCTGCATTTTTTTTTTGAGACGGAGTTTCGCTCTTGTTACCCAGGCTAGAATGCAATGGATCAGTCTCAGCTCACTGCAACCTCCACCTCCCAGGTTCAAGCAATTCTCCTGCCTCAGCCTCCCAAGTAGCTGGGATTACAGGCATGCACCACCATGCCTGGCTAATTTTTGTATTTTTTAGTAGAGATGGGGTTTCACCATGTTGGCCAGGCTGGTCCTGAACTCCTGACCTCAGGTGATCCACCTGCCTTCACCTCCCAAAGTGCTGGGCTTACAGGCGTGACCCACCTTGCCCAGCTTGTCTGCACATTTTAAACATATTTTTTTCAAATGGTATTAGCTGTCATCTACTGTTTGGCCTTTCTGAACTTTCAATTAAACATTCAACTTTCTGTGTTTCTGAAATGGATACAGTTAGCATTGCAAATATCTGTGCTTATTGACCAAACACATTGTATTCACGTCCCTCCTGACCTGCAGAGATGGAAACTGCTGATCTTTAAGCAAGTGGCAGTACACACTTATTTTTTTCTGTATCTCAGAGAAGGTGGGAATCAACTAGTCCTATTCAAGATTGAAAAAGGCAGCAACAACAACAAAAAGAATAAAATTCCACTGTGTTTAAGAAGTAGAAAAACAGAAAAAATGGAAATGACCAACCAATGACCATACTAGGATCTATGCAAATGAGTCATGTGACTATGTAGGACTAATTCCCTAAAACCATTCTGTTTAGTTTTTTAAAATATCATTTAATTATTATGACACATTTCAGATGTGCAAGACATAAAGAATAAAGAAACATTTCTGTACCTACGACAACCCTACATAAGCAATAAATATAATTAGAGCCCCTGATCACATTATTCTCTCTTCTATTTATTTTCAAATGACTTGGGAAAGGACAAAGAGACGGAATAAAGCCTTTTTAGGGACTGCAAAGAAAAGCATGAGTCACAGCCAAGCCAACATTCTGTAAAGGCACTGCCTTTAATAGTCTGATATGCAGAGATCACCTGGTCAAAGCTAACTCCACCCTCCCAAATCTATACTGCCAGGATATCTCAAATATTACTACTTCCTGTTTTATGCCAAAGGATCAAAGCTTCTACAAAGAGGTGAATGAATATATCACATGCATTCATTCATAAGGGGTAAGTTCACAAAAACACCATGAATGGCTGTATCCCTAAATATTTATTTCTAAAACAAAATGTTCTAAGCAACTAAACGTATAAGTCTTCTCTGATAAATATTCCATGAGTTTTTCTACTTAGAGACAGGGAGAGAACCTCAATTAGGAACTAAGCTACTTTCCAATCCTTATTATCAGCTTTAGCCAAAAAGAGCTAGCTCAAAATCCTTCCTTTCACATGGAAAAATTCAGAGTCCGGGTTATTTGCAGACAGCAAGTATCGATGAGAGACAGGAAGATGAGGGCACAGCGGAGGGGGAGCAAGGGACAGTTGACCCCTAATTTGACATCTCAGTGTCTAAATCCTGAGATAATCTGAATTGCTGAAACAGCTTGGAAAGGTGATAATAGTGTGTTCCCCATTAGATCTGAGAAGAGAATGAATTCTTCTATTATCTGACATCTACTGTGAATGTATTATACATATCTCACCAGATTCCATCTCCGAACAGAGACTGTGGGTGGTTATATTTAGGTGGGCAGAGCAGAGCAGAAAGGTTCAGCAGCTTCAGTGCCTTCTTGAGATGACAGGCTTGGCTGGGCAGCAAGAGAACTTGGGTCCCAGAGAGGGAAGGAGGTGGGGGCAGAGGGAGACAAAAGGGCTGGCCCTATCCATTTTCTCAAATGTCAGGCTCACCCAGCTCTGAAGCTTAGATTGTAATTACAATCCTCTTTTTTGCTAACAGATATTGAGTCTCCAAGTTGCCACATCACATCCAGTTTTGCAATCTGATATTGCAAAATCCCTGGTATTAGAAAGAAGGGAAAATCAAAAGGCTGCTTCTGCTAAACTGTAATCAGCCCTCACAAGACATTTTGTTTCTTTCTTTCTTTGTTTTAGAGTCAGGGTCTCAGGCTGTTGCCCAGGCTAGAGTGCAGTGGTGAAACTATAGCTCACCGTGGTCTCCAACTCCTGGGCTCAAATGATCCTCCCACCTCAGCCTTCCAAGTAGCTGGGACTACAGGTATGAGACACCATGTCTGGCAATTTTTTTTTTTTTCTTATAGAGGTGAGGTCTCACTATGTTTCCCAGGCTGGTCTCAAACTCCTGGCCTCAAGCAATCCTCCTGCCTCAGCCTCCCAAAGTGCAGGGATGACAGGCATGAATCACCACACCTGGCCAAGACCTATTTTTTAATTTGCTTTCTGTTTTGTGTCTTCTTTCTGTATTTCCTGTTCATAATGAGCTTTAGCATTGCCTTGATAGAAAATGCTAACTAAAGCTACAGACAGAAAAAAAAAAGCATTCTGCATACACCATCTGTTCTTTTATTATTATTATTATACTTTAAGTTCTCGGATACATGTGCAGAATGTGCAGGTTTGTTACATAGGTATACATGTGCCATGGTGGTTTGACACACCCATCAACCTGTCATCTACATTAGGTATTTCTCCTAATGCTATCTCTCCCCTAGCCCCCACCACCCAACAGGCGCAGTGTGTGATGTTCCCCTCCCTGTGTCCATGTGTTCTCATTGTTCAACTGCCACTTATGAGTGAGAACATTCAGTGTTTGGTTTTCTGTTCTTGTGTTAGTTTGCTGAGAATGATGGTTTGCAGCTTCACCTACGTCCCTGCAAAGGACATGAACTCATCCTTTTTATGGCTGCATAGTATTTCATGGTGTATATGTGCCAAATTTTCTTTATTTTTTTTTTTAAACGGCGTCTTGCTTCATCACCAGGCTGGAGTACAAGGGCGTGATTGCAGCTCACTGCAACCTCTGCCTCCCAGGTTCAAGCGATTCTTCTGCCTCAGCCTCCCAAGTAGCTGGAACTACAGGCGCGGTCCACCACACATGGCTAATTTTTGTATTTTTAGTAGAGACGGAGTTTCACCATGTTGGCCAAGA